TTTTATTTTAGCTCATTTGTGACACAGTGCAGTGGCGGGCCGGATCCGGCCCGCGGGCCGTAGTTTAGTGACCCCTGGTGTAGACTATTATAGACTTATTATATGAATTGAGAACAATCTTTGTATATAGTGTAAACATGTTGTAAATATTTTTCTTGAAGAGGGGCTCATTGTTGGATATACAATATTTTTTATTGTAAATGTTATTAGTTAATTTATTAGGTTATTTTATATTTAATTATTATTCTCTTTTCATAACAAGAGAGTTAAAAGTAATTCGTTTAATTAAAGGCGATAGTTATAACAAGTTTGGTTGCTTAACTCGGTAAGAGTCGTACGTTGTGTGTGTGGTTCAATTGTTGACGCCACGTTACTCGAATCTTTGGTATTTTTCTCACTAAGTGAGTATTGTTACATCATAGCGCCTCCTAGTTTGTAAAAAAATTCAAAGCCTCGTTGAGCAAGGTATATACATATAGGTGACCAAGCGAGCGCAAGTCAAGAAAAGAGTTAGCTAGTGAAAGAAAACGTGAAGTTAGGCAACGTGTGAGTGTTTAGCCATAATGGGTGATATTTTAAAGTGAATTTCACAGTTTAGTAGATATAAGGAGAATAATTTGTTTTGTCAAAGGGTGTTCTAAAGTAATTGAACCCGTCTATATGGACTTTGACGAAAAGGAGACAATTCTCTAAAGTTCGAAATACAACTGTGGGCCAGTGACGCCTGGGCCAGTGGGGTGATAACCTGGTTATACTGCCCCAGTGCTACTGACTAATCTACTGTACATCTATATATTGTTACGTCTCTGGTCGTTTGTTAATTACTCGTAAAAATTCTTTCCGAAGAACTTCAGCGATACAAGTCCTTTCTTAAAAAAAACTAGTTTATTCTTTCTCAATACAACTTTGCAATACACTTAATTTCCACAGTCACTTTAATAACTTAACAAACGCTACAATTCACAACGAACGATTCACCACTACTACCGCGCTTGACTCAATTGTCCGTCTCTATCTCTGTCTGCAATTTAATTCCATTGTTTGGCGCACTTATATA